CTCATCCCAAGGGATGGATGGATGGATGGAGGGATGGATGGATGATGGATGGAGGGATGGATGATGGATGGATGATGGATGATGGATGGATGGATGGATGGATGATGGATGATGGATGGATGAATGGATGGATGATGGATGGAGGATGGATGGATGATGGATGGATGGAGGGATGGATGATGGATGGATGGATGATGGATGGATGGATGATGGATGGATGATGAATGGATGGACATGGCTTATCCCGAGGGATGGATGGATGGATGGACATGACTCATCCCAAGGGATGGACAGACTGACACAGCTCATCCCAGCCTCTCCAGCCAAGGAACATCTAATTTTATCCCGTCCCTCGGGCCCCCAAGGCCACGGAAGTGGTTTCCGTTCCCAGCACATCCCAGTCCCGTGGGAGCTGGAGGGGCTGGGCTGGGAATGTCCAGGGGACAGGGACAGGGACTCACTCGCCGGTCATCTGCAGGACCTTCTCGATGGTGCTGTAGCCCGAGGCCATGAAGGTCTCGGTGTACTGGGGCATCCGGATGGACTCCAGCCACTCCGGGACCGAGCGGAACGGGACGCCCTCGGAGCCGCTGGTGCTGGGCAGCCGGATGGACACCCTGCAGGGACGGACGGAAAAACGGTGTAAAAATAGAAACAGGCAAAAAAAAACCCAGTGAAAAGCAGAATCTGGGGAAATGATGTGGAAACAGAAGGGTGAAAAGATGATGCAGAAATCAAACTTTGCAAAAAAACGATGCGGGAACGGAGTGATGTAAAAAAATAATGTGCAAATGGAAGGTGCAAAAAATGATGGAGAAAGGTGAGGGCAGAAAAATATTGGAGAAATGAAACAGTGGGAAAAATGGTGCAGGAATGGAAGGGTGGCAAATAGAGAGGCAAAAATGGAAATATGGAAAAATAACACAGGGTTAAAAAGATGTGAAAAATAATGTGAAAATGGAAGGATGGAAAAACAGTGCAGAAACGGGAAGATTCCAAAATATAAATGCAAAAATGAGATGATGAAATGAAGGTGCAGCAAAATGAAACAATGCAAAAGGTGGGAATGTGAAAATGAGGAAATACCAAAAAATGATGAAGAAATGGAGATGCCAAAAGCAAGGTGAGTGCAGAGATGGAAAACCCAACCCAAACCAGCACCACGGGAGTGCAAAAAATGACAGAAAATGCGAAGATGGAAACAAAACGATGCAAAAACCGATAGAAGACGCAAGAAAAATGTGCAAGAATCAGAGATTCTTTGGTTGGAAGGAACCTTAAAGCCCACCCCATTCCACCCCTGGCATGGCAGGGACACCTCCCACTATCCCTGGGTGCTCCAAGCCCTGTCCAGCCTGGCCCTGGGCACTTCCAGGGATCCAGGTGCGGCCTCAGCTGCTCTGGGCAACTTCCCCCCCTCCCTCTTCTTGCCCCCCACCCCATCCTGGTGCTCCCCACACTCACCGGGGGTCGAAATCTGCCAGTGCCTTGAGGGACTCGGGGGCCCGGATGAGTTTGTCGAGGATGCTGACGATGTCGGTGAACTTGGGGCGCCGGCTGCGCTCCTGCTGCCAGCACTGCATCATCAGCTGGTAGATGGCCGAGGGACAGTCCAGCGGCGCCGGGAGGCGGAAACCCTCGTTGATGGCCTTCATCACCTGTGAGGATGAGGAGGAGGAGGATCAGGGATGGTCCCCCAGAAAAGGTGTTCATTAACAGAATCCCAGGATGGTTTGGGTTGGAAGGACCTCAAAGCTCGTCTCATTCCAGCCCCTGCCCTGGGCAGGGACACCTCCCACTGTCCCAGGTTGATCCCAGCCTTGTCCCAGCTGGGCCTGGCTGTGCACACACCTCGTGGTTGGAGAGCTCCCAGTAGGGCCGCTCGCCGTAGGACATCACCTCCCACATGACAATGCCGTAGCTCCAGACGTCGCTGGCAGAGGTGAACTTGCGGTAGGAGATGGCTTCGGGTGCTGTCCATCGGATCGGGATCTTCCCGCCCTACAGCAACACTGGGGTCAACCCTGCGCCCCCAAAAAGCCACCGCGCCTTGTTCCACCACCCCAACACCGTGATGGACAATCACCCACTGTGTTCAACCCCTCAAACACCGTGATGGACAATCACCCACTGCATTCAACCACCCCAACACCGTGATGGACAATCACCCACCGTGTTCAACCCCCGCAACAGAACCAAGCACCCCCTGGCCGTGGCCAGCCCCTCCCTGGCTCCCTGGCCGCAGTGACACTCACACTGGTGGTGTAGGTGGCCTCAGGATCATCCTCCAGCACCCTCGAGAGCCCGAAATCAGACACTTTGCACACCAGGTTGCTGTTCACCAGGATGTTCCTGGCGGCCAGGTCACGATGGACGTAGTTCATGTTTGCCAAGTACTTCATGCCAGCGGCGATGCCCCTCAGCATCCCCACCAGCTGGATGACGCCAAATTCACCCTCTTTTTCCTGGGAAAAGGGGAGAATCCAGCCTGGAATCCACCTGTTGTCCCACCTCCTGTGGTGGGTGTTGGAGGTTCCTTCACCCCGTGGTTGCCACCACGTGTCACCTACCCGCAGGAATTTGTCCAGCGCCCCGTTCTCCATGTACTCCGTGATGATCATGAAGGGCTTGTCTGTACAAAAAGACCCCAAAACAGGTAAAAACCCCAAAAAATATCTCTCCAAGCCCCCCAAAAAAGCCACCCCCATAAAATCTCTAAACCTTCCACAAACCCTCCCAAAATTCTTTAACCCCCAAATGCTCAATGCCTCTCAAAACCTCCCAAATAAACCTGAATTCCCTCCCCAAAAAAGTCCCCGACCTCATCCCCCCAAAAAGACCCAAATCCCCCAAATTCCCCTTTGTGTCATTATTCAAAACAGCCTGTTTTTAATTTCATGGTTTTTGAGGTGTTTTGCTGGGAAATCGGGGTGGTTTTTTGGGAGGGGACAGGACAGAGAGGCCACTCACACTTGGAGACGACGCCCTCAAGGCGGATGATGTTGGGGTGGCAGAACTGCCCCATGATGGTGGCCTCGCTCAGGAAGTCCACGCGCTGCTTCTCTGTGTAGCCCACCTTCAACGTCTTGATGGCCACCAGCACCTCCTTCCTGCCGCGCTTCAGGGTGCCCTTGTACACCTCCCCAAATTCACCTGCTCCGAAAAACGTGGGGCGCCCTTAGCCCCCCTGCCCCACCCCGATTTCGGGGCGTCTCTGGGGGGACAAAGCCACCTACCGGCGCCGATGACCTTCTGGCGGGTGATAAAGGACGGGGGGATCTCAGTGGTGAACTTGAGCATGGCTTGGTTGGGGTCTTCGTAGGTGTGGGGGTCGACGTAGGTCTTGAGGGGCTTCAGCTGGTCTGTGGGTGTCGAGGAGGGGGTCACCACGCCTGTGACCCCCCGCCCATCCCCGCTGTCCCCACTGGCCCCTGCCTCACCTGACTTGGAGAAGTAGACGTCCTCGGCGGATTGGCGCGGCCGTGACCTCCTCCTCCTGTGGAAAACCAAGGTTTTGTCCCAAAAGATCGTCCCTCCCCCCATTGTCGGTGCTGGGACAGTGACGTTTTGGGGTTTTTTGGGGGGTCTGGGCGGGGTTTGTCCCCTTACCGCCGGAGGACGTAGAGGAGAGCGGCCAAGAGCAGCACAACAAAGACGATGCCGGCGACGCTGCCGGTGATGACGGCGGTGGATGCCATGGCCTCGGAATCTGCGGGGACATCCAGGTGAGTTCCCTGCAGGAGCCCCCCTGGAGCCCCCACCCCGCGCTCCCGACACCCCCC